GAATGGACAAATGATTTGACAAGATTTCATGGACATAATATTAGGGAATTGTGCGAAGATATGCTTAGAGTCATTCCTGAAAGGAGGACATGAAAGGGAACTATGTAAGTTTGTTGTTGTAACACCTTAAATTTAATTTTAAATAAGAAATTTCACAAAATAAAAGAAATAAAATTTCATTCTAAATGGTTTTCCATGCATAATTCATTAAAATATTTTGAAATAAGGATGAATTACAACTTCTATAAAATCATTGCTACAGGACTAATTCAATTACATCAGAGTTCAAATAGATTTATAGTCCTATAGCAATTTCATCCATCCCTTCACTGAACCCAGTGCTGATCGTCTTAGTTACCTGAAAAATAAATGTAAGAGTGAGTACTCTACTCTATCTAACACACATATACACAAACATAGAGACTCACATTGCTCACCCACATGATCTCTAACATATTCTACTCAAGTATTAACAATCACAAACAACACTCATCATACATTCCATTTCAAATTACAACTGGTGCGTTCACTGCACCAACAATGTTTCACATGCACGTGTGCTCACTGCACGTAGCCATACTCACTGTGGCATTGCGATCACAGTTTCACATCATGAATGGTTGTCGGTTACTCCCGTCTCACAAATACCACGTGTTGCGGTCACTAGTCGCTCGACAAAGGTGTTGGTCATAGGTCTAGTCAGGAGGAGAACGTGTATCCTGCGGTGCACCCATGCTCACTGTTGGTGTCACCACTACTCTCTCTTCCCTAAGGTATTTCTACCGTCCCCATCTTCCACACCTCCAGTGTATTGCTAAATTGTTCATAGCATATTTACAACCACATTTAGCATGCCTTTTCACACATATTTTCAGCCACATACAATATTCATTCTCAGCACACGGCACAGAGACTCATATTCAATCACAGCACACGACATAGATGCCCATATTTATTCGCGTTACATTTAACGCACAGCTATTCCATACACACAATATTTCCCAATATACCCTATCACAATCAAGTCTTTTTCATCCAAATGCACACCTTTCTACATTCTATTTCAATCACAACTCTACAAATAACAATGTAAATAGATTTTCAAGCAAAATGAGATAGGGTAGAGTCTCCCCTTACCTCAGATTGAAGACCCACACACGAAATCAACAATGACAAGGTTCTCCCCCCTCCCCAAACTTCATCATAAATACATGGAGGAATCCCATGAGGGAAACCAAGAAAATAGAGAATGGGGATTAGAAACTGAAACCCTAACTATTAAAACTTACCTCCAAGCATTTCCAATACGATTTCAACCTTCAATCTAGCTCCCAAACGGCTTTGGAGGTAATTTAATCGGTGAAATAAGGTTTTAAGTCGGGAGAATCGAAGAGATTTTGAAGAGAGGAAAGGGAAAATGAGTTTTCCAAACCCTAAACCCCTTAAATTCCCTTTTGATCATGACACTCTCATTATAGCGAGATATGGACCTCGCTACAATGACACGCCTCCTTGCTATAGCGAAAATCTAAGAGAAAACTGCACTTTAGTTTCTGTAGAATCTCGCTATAGCGAAACCCTCTCACTACAGCGAGACTGCACCCCAGAATACACTCCCTCTCTGTTGCCTTCTCGCTATAGGGAGAAGCCTTTCACTACAATGAGAAAGCAATAGTCGCTCCCCTTACGCGCAGGACTCTGTCGCTACAGTGAGAATGCCTCTACAATTTACACTTAGCCTATTTCAGTCCAATTCTAATCATATACAACAATTCCAGCTCCACCACAAACCAATACCCATGTTCATACTCGCATTCACACATTCATACGACCTACATCATCATATATCCATATATTCTCATCACCATATATTTATATATATATTTCAAACACGCAAATACATGAAAATCCACATAAACACTTATATTAATAATCAAACAATATTACAAAATTCAAGGCGTTACAGTTGTGGTTTAGGACAAATTTTCAACAACTATATTAAAATGCAAATTTAGAGACAATAATGCAAGGCTAATCATTCCTTATTCCATTATTAATAGTTGTAACTGCAACACAAGCATGCCCTATGCCATAATTAACTACAATCGTGATTAAAATAAAAGTGCAAATATGTTAATTTTTAAATTTAAATAAATTTTAACCATATAAGTTGTGTTGAAAGTTTGTATCGAGTGGACTAAGAGCCTATCTGTTAAGCATGCTCGTGCTTGACACATGCACGTCTTAGATAGAGTATTTTTGTTAGCATTGACACACTCTAGTTAAGTACGCCTTAGATAGAGAGGTTGTCTATTAAGCATGGTTGTATTCTACCTAAGAACGCCCTGGTGACACAAGGTGTATGTTCTGACTGATCATACTCGTTTTGAGCACATCTTGGACAAAAAGGGCTAATTTAAAGCTTGTGCAGCACAGTCGTGCTTGATAAATCTACATTTTACTAGTATTTTAGGTTAATTTTTAGTAGTTAATAAGTAATAAAGTGATTAATAAAACTAAAAATCTCATAAAAAAATTGCATTTATGTTTAAAGTCCTTTAAATAGTTTAGTGTTTTAGATTTAATCCCAATTTTGATATAAGTCTGCTAAATAGATTGAATTTAAGCTAAAAATTTGAACTAGAGGTTATGAGGCTAAGAATTAAATGAAGAAAGTGGAAGAATTGGACTTAAAGAGTGAAGAATCAATTGGTATAGTCTGAAAGTTATCACTCTGGGCGCATAAAGTGACAACTCTGAAGTGTTTTCAGCAACAATGGAATGCAAGTGTACACTTTAAGTGTTCAAAATGAACACTTTAGAGGTGAAAATTCAAGAAGACCTTGCATGTTAACACTTTGAAGGCTCAAAGTTAACACGCACACTATAAACAGTTGGGCGTTACCAGTTTCAGCATTCAAAGTGTTCACTTTTGAGAGCTCTGACTGAAGGAAACTTGCTTGTTAACACTTCAAAGGTTCAAGTGTTAACGCGCATGACAAAATTTTGCAAAATCACTTCAAATGTTCATCTTAAGGGTTTAAAGTGCTCACCTCAACCTAGAAAGATTTCAGAAGACCCTCTACATGTACACTTTAACCATTTAAAATGTTAATGTTAAAAAAGGTAGAAAAAATATAAATACATCTGGAAATCAAAGATTAGAGATCTTTTGCCATTTTTTCTTTTCCATTCCATTTTCACTTCTTAGGAGTGTTAGAGAGAGAGAGAGAGAGAGAGAGAGAGATTGGGGGCAACTTCCAAGCTTCAATTCTTGAGGAATCAGATTGGGGATTGAATTATGAAGATGTTCTTCTGCTCTTCTTCTTCTTCTCTTTCTTTCTCTCCTCCATTTGTAATGTTATTCTAGATTTCGTTTGTTAAGAATTTATGGATCTGAATTTGAGTTTATGATTTGATTATGGATCTGAAACTTGAGATTTTAATTAAATTGAGCATTTGATTTTTTTTCTTAATGAAATTATTGGAGTGATCATTCAATTGAATTGAACTTAGAAAAATTTTCATCAATGAAAGTTGAGTTAGTTTCTCATATCTGAATCAATTGCCAAGGTTAATGATATCTTAGGGATAAGCATTCATAATCTTGTAATCATGTGATTTTTAATGCTTAATGCAATGTTTAATTGAATTACACCTAAGGGATTAGGGTAGTTAAGTTGAACATTAGGATCATTGAGTCAAAGAATTGTCCTTTGATTAAATAAGTGAAATCGATTATTGATCAGTTGAAATACTTAAGAGTTCAAAAATTGATTGAGTTGCAATTGATAATTTGGTGGAGTGATTCCTAACTCCATTCCATATATCATTTCAATATACAATTCATAAATCTGTTTTACTTCAAGTTTACATTTATCTATACTTGTTATTTCTGATTTTTACATAATATAAATTGTCCAATCAATTGTATGGCTTAACTAAATATTGATTTGTGAAGTGATAATTGAGAAAACCAATCCCTGAGGATCATACTTGGGACTCAACTTTGATTCCAAAAATTTTATTACTTCCTATAACTATCTAGTACACTTGCTAGTTAGTGTTCTCTGAGCTTTGTGACAAGTTTTTGGCACTGTTGCCAGGGATTAGTTATTTTCAATATCATTAGTAACAAAAAGCCATTTAGATTGAGCTTTTGTTTTCTGTTTTGTATAATTTTGTTTTGTGTTTTCTTCTACATGTTAGTCTGAAATTAAAATAGTATTCATTTTTTTTAGTTCTGGATAATTCTTTTTGTGATATTACATCTTATTTTTGTTTAGTGTAAATGTCTATATGCTAGTTTATTTTCTTCATTCATTAGAACATTCTATTGCTAAATTCTCTATAATAGGGTATTTCATACACTGATTACTTTCAAGCTTTGTTTGTTTTTGTTTAGTTTCTTTGTGTTTTATGCGAGGTAAAAATAAAAAACAAAGCTGCTCTTGTGTTTGATCCAGACATTGATAGGACATTAAGAAGATTAAGAAATGAAATAAGAGCAGAAAATTTAATACGCAAAGACCAAGAGCTAGAATCCACACCTTCTCCACCAAAATCTGTTGATTTTCAATTTACTCCTCCTCCACAATAAACACCTCAGGAAACCAGAATGGCTGACCAAAATAGAATGAGAACTTTGGGATACTATGCTAAACCAAATATGCAAGGATACAATTCTTCAATTTGAGCCTACCATCCAAGCTAATCACTTTGAGATTAAGCCAGCCTCGCTTCATTTGGTATAGCAAGGTCAGTTTTCTGGTGGAATTTTTTATTATCCTAACTTGCATATCTCTAATTTTTTGCATCTTTGTGATATAATAAGGATGAATGGTGTGAGTGAAGATGCGATAAGGCTAAGACTGTTTTCATTTTCTTTGAGAGACAAAGCTAAGTGTTGGTTGCAAGCACAACCTCAAGGGAGCATCACCACATAGACAGACCTTGTGAACAAGTTCCTGACCAAATATTTCCCTCCATCCAAGGCTGCTAAGTTGAGAGGAGAGATCACATCTTTTGTGTAGCAGGAAGAAGAGTCACTATATGAAGCATGGGAAAGGTATAAGGAACTTTTGAGAAGATGTCCACACTATTGTATTCCAGAGTGAATGCAATTGGAAACGTTCTATAATGGGATGAATGCAGCAACCAGAACCATGGTGGATGCAGCTGCAGGAGGTTCCTTGAATACCAAATCTTTGGAAGAGGCTCAAAGGATTATTGAGATGATGGCTTCTTCTATGTATCAAAATTTTAATCTAAGACATTCTAGACGAAACACTGGATATGAAGTCAAAGCTATAGAGACTCTTCTTGCACAAAATTAGCTCCAAAATCAATTATTTTCTAAGTAGATTACTGCTCTAATGCAACAGATTAATAATCTCCAAGCTAGACTTGTCCAAAACACTCTGTTGATTTGTGATTTCTTTGGTGAAAATCATGCCAATAGTGCATGTGATGTGTCTACATTTGAGCCACAAGAACAGATCAACTACATGAGAAACTATCAAAGGCAGCAACAATCTTTTCAACATGGATTTCAACATCCAGATAATAGAAATCAACAATTCTACAAGTGGAATCCACATAATCCTGCTAGTAATAATACATTTTTTCCAATTTCTAATGCAAGACTTCAACTTCATCAGCAATATTTCTAAGGGGATTCCTCATCTCAGCCTTCAATAGGGCAACAGTTCACAAAACCTCTGTCTGAGAGGATGAATAAAATGGGGAAAAATTTTCTACAATTTATGGAAGCTACTCAAACTTGTTTCAAAAATCAAGAAGCATCCAACTTAGATAGGACAACTAGCTGAGCAATTGGCAAACAGAGAAGAAGGAAGATTCCCTAGCAGTACTAATGTAAATCTGAGAGAGCAATGTCATGCTATCATGATAAGAAGTGGAACAAAGATTTATAGTCACCAAGCAGAGGAGGAAAAATCTAATTTTAAGAAATTGAAAGAAAAGAAACAATATGATTTCAAAGGAGAATATATTACTCTTTTAAGAAGAGAATAGCCTAAGGACAACAATAAGACACAACATGAAGGAAGAACTAAAAAGTTGAAAAAACAAAATGATGATCTTACACTAAAAGAAGTCCTTGCTGCTGTTAGATATCAAGACAATGAAGAGCATGAGGATAAGTTTACTGAGTATGTTAGGCAGCTGGAAGCTCTTCCAAAGTTATTTCCTTCAGGTGCTCACAGAGATAAAGAGCTGCAAGTTAGTAAGAAAAAGGGGAAAAACATAAGGATAGAACAAGAACTATTACCATCAAAGTTATCCCCTAGAGTTAAAGGTTACGAGGCGTCAAGCTAGTGATGTTAAAAGAGCAACTCTTGCTTCTTTCGTTCTGAACTTTTGTTAATTTTTGTTTTTTATTTCATTTTTCTAATTCTGATTTTTAGTTGTAGGGAAGAAATTGAACACAGAAAATTCTTGCATCAAATTGGTTTCTCAAGATTGAGAAACACGAGACGTCAAGCTAGAGATGTTAAAAGACCACTTTGTGAGAGGCAACTCACATTTTTTAACCTTTTTCTTTATTTTTGTTTGAACTTGAATTTTGATTTTTTTAAATTCTACATAACTTTGAATTTCATTTCTGCATATTTCTAATTTTTGTTCTGTACAATTATGCATAATCTCGGTTTTGTGTTGTAGATGTCAATTTAAGAAGCACAAGAGTTCATAAAAGTGAGAAGATTTGAGTCTAAGGGAGTGCTAATTACTGAAGTGTTCACTTTATTGATGCAAATGAGAGGCAGAAGCTATATAGATGAAGTTGATCTCTGAAGTGTTCACTTCAAACACTTCAAGTGAACACGCAATTGCTTAGGACTGCTTGTTTTTCCTCTAAAGTTAACACTCTATGCACTTGAAGTAGTCATACAAAGGCGATTGTACATGATTCATAAGCTGAAGACATACACGATCACACTTTGTGCACTTAAAGTGTTAACGCGCATCATGACTCAGTGAGAAGAATGGACATTGTAACACCTTAAATTTAATTTCAATAAATAAGGAATTTTGAAATTTTTTGAAATAATATAACTTCCATTTTTAATCCAAGTTTCGTCAAACATTTCAAATAAAGAAAGGGGTTACAAATTATATCAAACAGTTGCTACAGGACTTATTCAAATACAACAGTTTTTAAAATAATATCCTAAGTCCTATAGCAATTCCATCCACCTCTTCACGGAGTCTGGTGCTAATCAATCTTGATTTCCTAAAAAATGAATGTAAGGGTGAGAACTCTACACTACCCAAAAACACACAATTAACATAGAGTCTCACCTCCAGCACATTTCCAATACATTAAACAAAGATAATTACAGGCAGCATTATCACACAATTCATGTCATTTTAACAATGATGCACTTATGGCATCGGCAGCATTTCACATCCATAAGTACAACATACAAACTCATGCATACGCACACCAGCCACACTCACTATGGCACTGTGATCACAGATTTACACCATGAATGGTCGCCGGTTACCCCCGCCTCATGGATACCACGTGGGCAGTCACGAGCCGCTTAGCAAAGGTAATGGTCAGAGGTCTAGTTTGGAAGAGAGTGTGTGGCCCGTGGTGCACCCATTCCACAGTTGGTGTCACCACCACTCTCCCTTCTCCAAGGTATTTCTACCGTCCTCATCTTCCACACCCCCAGTGTATCACTGAACCATCACAGCACACTACAACGGCGCTAACACACCCACTCACACATTTTTCATTCACGTATGCAATAATCATGCTCACACACGGCACACAGCCCACATTGCATTCAAATACACGGTACTAGGCCCACATTCATTTCAACTTACGTGGTACATAGCCAATATTCATCTATATTACACGGCCCTCAAGCCCACATTTGTTCACAATATTCATTCTATCATGCTACATCTAGCATACAATTCACATCTCACCCAGTTACATCACAATATTCAATAATTAACAGCAAATCACACATAATAGAGTATGATAGAGTCCCCCCTTACCTTGGATCAACGTCCCACACGCTAAATCCACTAAGAAGTGCTCCCCCGTCACAAATTTCATCCTAAACACATGAAGAAACTCCATGAGAACCCAGGGAAACCACGAAAACAAATAAAGGGAATGAAAAACTGAAACCCTAACCATTAAGACTCACCTCCAAGCGTTCCCCACACGGATTTAACTTTCAATCAAGCTTCTGAACGACTTTGGAGGCAATGAAATCAGTAGAAAAGGGTTTAGGAATGAGAGGATCGAAGGGATTTCAAAGGGAGAGGGAGAAATAACTCTCCCTGAACCTTAACCCCCTTTAAATCCTTTTCTGGTTGCGACACTCTCGCTACGAAGGCAAAAATCTCAGACGAAATTGCACCCTGGTTTCTGCAGAATCTCTCTATAGCGAGACCTTCTTGGTACAGCGAAACTGTACCCAGAAATACACTCCAAACTGTTGCTCTGTCGCTACAGCGAGACGTCTCTCGCTACAGCGAGAAGGCGACAATTTTGGTCCATCCTCCTAGGGCCCTCTCGCTACAGCGAGAATCCTCTCGCTGCAGCGAGAACAGCCCAGTAGTATGCCCTGCACTTAAGCACTTAGCCCATTTCAGCCCTATCCAGTCATGCATACCCATATATATACACACATCCACAACATTCATATATGTACATATATTCATACTTATTACACACAAAATACCATCATTACGCATCCAATGCAAATTTTTAATATCCATTTACACTTACACACACATATATATGCATTTAGATTTTATATAAATAACAATAATTATTATCACAAAATTCGGGGCGTTACAGACATTGACCTCGAAAGTGTACACTTTAAGCGTTTAAAGTGTACATGAGCATCCAGATCCCTCACATTAGCCTTTGAAGTGTTAACTTTGTCCATTTAAAGTGTACACGCGTAAGCTATGTGACTCAAGTAACTCTTTGAAGTGTTCACTTTAAATGCTTAAAGTGAATACATGCATTGCACTGCCTATAAAACACTCTCTGAAGTGTTAATTTTGTCCATTTAAAGTGAACACGCACAAATTGAATTTCATTTAAATCCTTCAGTGTGTTCACGATTTTCGCACACAGTGATCACATTGTATTGGAATTTGTTTATATTGTTATGTAATGGAATGTGATTGAAATAAGACATAGGAAAATGTGTCTTAATAGAAATTTTGTGTTAATCATAATGTGATAGGTTTTGAGTGATAGGTATGATGAAGTGCTTTAAATTGCGATAGGATTGTGGTGGAAAATTGGGTGTTTTAGTATAATGTGGTTGAATGTGTACTGATGAATCTACATTTTTATACATCATTTATTACTTTTTATAGAAAAGAATAGACTTAGATAGTGTAAATAAGATGAATATTCCAATTAGGCTAAATAATATAGGTTTCTTAGTTTTTTGTTAATTTACATGAATTTAGATAGTTTATTTTACATATTTTGATCATTTGAATAATATGGCAGGAATCCCCAAGCTTATTTTGAAGAATTATTGGATTTTGAGGAATTTGAGGTGAAAGTAACTACTTTCAATATTGATAGTGACAACTACAGCAAGTCACTTCCAGCAAAGGGACCAAAGTGATCACTTCCAAAGCTTAAAGTGACAACTACAGCAGCCTAGAATCAACCAAACCTGTGCGTGGTTACTATGAATATTCATAGTAATCACTCCAGAGCATGCAAAAATTGAAGGTGCTGCACGTAACTACTATGATATTCATAGTAATCACTCCAGAGACCCAAAATGTCCCAGTGCTGCTCGTAATTACTATGAATATTCATAGTAATCACTCCAGAGAGGAAAAACTCAACTGATGCTGCGCGTGGTTACTATGAAAGAATGAGAGTAATTACTTTGGGCGGCGCCAACTTTAGTATAAATAGATTTTTACCAAATTAGGGTAGGGAGTTCTTACACTTTTTGTACCTTTTCTCTTCTTTACTAAATTTAGGACACTTGGAGAGCCTAGGGTGGCCTTGAATGACAGCCAAGGGTCCAACCTAGGGTTTGATTTCCATTTTCTCCTTACTTCTCTTTGATTTTTGTATTGATGTTATTGATTTCTCTTTACTTTCATTTTGCAATTGTCAGACCCATCCTCATGAAGGGTTAATTTTCTTGAAATCTCTAGTAAGTTTATATGAATTCTTGAATTCTTGTTTTTTGAATGTTAATGCAAATCTTTTTCTTCCATGAATTTCTTCCTCCCAAACTCCTGAATTGAATTAATGGTTGAATGAGGGGAGCATTGCGGAATGAACCCTAATTCGTTTTAAGGAAATTCTAAATTTGAATTGCTTGATTCTTGTTTAATTCCAAGATTGCGTAATCAAGGAATGAGATATTGGAGTTCATTGGATTGGTTAATTCATATGAAAACATAAGGTTGATTTTCGCTTGTTAAATCAACCTAATTCTGGGAGGAGAGGAAGAGTATTAAATCTTGAGGGGAATAGGGATAGAGTTTATATGAATGAACTAGGGGTTACTACATTTTATCGATTGAACTTTGCAATTTAATTTTCTACTTAAGTTGATTGAACTTGAAATCACAAAACCCCCCCTTTTTTTACTTGCTTTCTAAATACATTGCACACTACATGTTTGATATTTGGTCACTTGTCCAATGATTCATGGGAGACGACTTAGGCTTGCATCCTAGACTACATAAATTTTTCTGCATATTTTGATGAAGGTTCACGACAAATCTTTTTGCAAATGAGAAAATATTTCATTCATCATGTACGTACATGCCATGTGTGAGAATGAATGCGATAATATGATTGAGAATGTGTGCAAATGGCATGATGAATGTGAACGTGCTTGTGTTTGTGTTTGGAATGATTGAAACTTTGAATGGTTATAGCGATACACTGAGGGTGTGAAAGATGTGGACGGTAAAAATATCTTTGGAAAAAGAGGGTGGAAGTGAGCGTGGATGCACCACAGTTCACACACTCTTCTCCTGATTCGGCCTCTGACCAATACCTTTGCTAAGGAGCCCGTGACTGCACGTGTTGTATCCGTGAAGCGAGGGCTAACTGGCGACCATCTATGGAATGAAACTGAGTAAGACCCTGAGGTTGAGGGCGTTAGCAAACTGTGATCACAGTGCCATAGAGAGCGTGGCTAATGTGCAGTGAGTGCGTGTGTGTGTGGATCGACTGAAGATGTAGTGAGTGCACATGTGTATGAATCAGTGTGAAATGACAATGTGTGTGGTTGACTTGCCATAGTATTGTGAATGCAATGTGTGCCATGTTAGAAAGAATTAATTTATGTTTACGCATTTTATGATTTTAACTATGTTAGGAAATGTTTGGAATATGCAAGGTGAGTCTCTCTGTGTGTGTATGTGATATTGTAGAGGACTCACCCCTTATATTTATTTTTTAGGTGACCAAGACGATCAACACCAAGCTTAGTGAATGGGATGGATGACACTGCTATAGGACTTAGATTTTATTTTAAAAATTGTAATTTGTTGAATGAGTCCTGTAGCATTTATTTTGATTGAAATTGTAACCCATCCCATATTTTGAAATACTTTATTGAAACCCTGTACTTGAAACCATTTGAAATGAAATTTTTATTATCCCTTTCTACTTGCAAAAATATCTCATTGGAAAATATTTGGAAATAAATAAGGTGTTACACCTTCAATTGCAATCCCATGTTGCTATGCTACATCACTCTTGTTTCCCAGTGTATTCTTTGGTAATGACTTGGAAGGAGAACTCTGACTACTAGTTAAAACCATTTTGTATAATAGCAGTGAATAAATCCACCCATAACAAACAAAACAAAGAACATTCCCACCCAGTCACCCATAGTAACCTAAAGATGATGAAGGTGAAGAAGAAAAAAATAGAGGACAGAAAGTAGAAAATCTCAGCGAAGAGTAGAACCAAATCACAGAACAGACCGAGTCGTTGGAGTCAAATCATACCGGAGAAACACAAGTGGATTTTGCGGAGTGGAAGGAAGTCGCAGAGCAAAGGAGAAAGGAAGAAGTCACAAAGCATAGTAGAGGAGATAGAAAGAAGTTGCAGATTTAAGTTTTTAGGATTTTAGGGTTTTCATCGACTTTAATGAAATTGGGTTAGGTCGCGAGTCATTGGGCCAAAATAGAAACTTCTCTGCGCGCTGAGATTGTCCATCCTCAACGATTTTACAGTCGAGCTCGTGCGATCCCAACAATCTTGCTATTTCGTGATTCCAAATGCGAGCTAGCACAGAAGCGTGGCCAAAGATCATAGAATAGTACAATTCTACATTCCGACATGCGACTTTGACTACTGTGGTTAAGAATGTCTACTCATATTGCGTGTGTGTATTATCTAAACACTAGTATTTCATATTATTTCACATTATTAAAGCAATTTTACACATGGCCTTATGAATGGAAAACCTAATGAAGCACAACAGACATTTTAATGCTCAAAACGGATGGCCTCGTATCAAGGTCAATAGACGTTAGCATTATGAAAGCAAGGGAAAGCTTCTATAGATTAATTTTAGTGAAAATTTGGGGCAACAATTCAGAAGCTAACGTCGAGGGAGAGGTATGGAATTAAGTTGAGGTAGCATGGTAGGTTTGTATTAGTTAAGGTTTAATTTGTGCTCTTAGACATATTACAGCCAAAAATTGGATTCATTTTAACATAATTTTATGCTAAATCTGTTGTAGTCAATGCAACAACTGGCAAATTATCTTGAAATGGACCTGTGCTTTGTATTGTAAAAAGTTCTGCAAATTCAAAAGTAAAACTTTGCTAAGTGTGATTCGATTATATATATTTTATTTGTTATTTTAATATTTTATTTGTTATTTTGTATTTTATTTAAAATATTTTAAAAATGCTCATTATTTTATAATATTGGTTGCATTATTTCATTAAAAAAAAAAGGAAAAATTATACTTGGATATATATATATAAACAGTGAATGCAGACATGAAAATTTGGATACCCAAGGAATGAATATATATGGCTAAGTGTAATTTTTTAAAATATTGATATGAAAATGGGTACTATAGGACCCATTCTATTGCCATCATTCTCAAGTACAACGTCAGTGAGGAATTTGTTACAATACAAGGAAAATGAATGATGTATGAATTTAGATCGCCTATATTTTCCAGGATTACAACATTAAGAAGGCAGAAGAGCCACCAGCTCAAAAACCAAAAACTAAACGCTCAATTTGCCATTATTGTTTTAAGTGTCTAAAAATATATTTTACACACATTAAATTAAAAATCAGGGGCCTCATGCTACACACTTGACATACAAAACCCACGAGTGATTGGGCATGTATAAACTACTCATTCTTCGATCCTGTTAGGTAGGATCGCACCAGCAAGAAATGCTTGTCTTTCTGCCTTTTGTACTCGTTGTATCGAAGGAAAAAGTAGCCAAGATAATCAAAATCAATTGGAGACATTTTTGCCTGTTTATCATCAAAAGAAATATCAACAGTCATGGATATCATTTGATTAGAAGCATAACAAGCATATAAGAGGAAATATAATACCTGAATTAGCCCCCACAATGCCCAGAAAACGTGCGAGGCAAGGGAAAATGTATTTGCCTCAACATACAAAATTTCAAGATCTTTCTCAGACACCTGTAAATATGTAAATAATAAGGTAAAACACAGGAGACAAACAATAGGAAGGGGGATAAAGCCAAAAACTACTGAGTGATTATATTGTATACAATACAAGTAACTTGCATATTCTTACGAGCATGTGTATTCTACATAGATAATATTATTAGTAGGCAATATGCAACAAGGTATGCTGGCTAAATCAAGAAGTCAAATATACAAGAAAATTCAAGGTGTAGGACAAAATTAGGGATTTCAGGACGATATTTGGGTGGTTTTGTGACATCAACTGTGGCAAACCAGTAATATCATACATCAATCCAACAGTAAACCGTAAGGCCAACCAGACAGTAAATGCACCAAAGGGCTACAACTTTGAAGTGACCCAAAAGTAATGGAAAACCACAGAATATATCTTGGGACTTGGGAGTAACATGCAATCACCACCCCTAACCAAATAAATTTCATTAGCTCAGGACTATGAATTTGGCAGCAAGTAATAATATAAGGAAGAATGGGCCTATTTCATCGCCATTCACAGTCCCCTTACAGAAAAATCTTTTATGGTCCATTACAACAAGGAATCAGAAATTTAACCAGGATACCCTTACAAATGCTAAGCACTACTTAAATGGGTTTTTATCCTCTAACAAACCAGACTGTAAGTATGAAGAAATTGACTGTGCATCTCATTTTAGAGATGAATAATATTCTTAAGACAACAAAATAAAATACAATTTCAAAAATTTAATTCCCTTCACAGTGATTAGTACCTGGTGTGGTTTGTCAGGTTGTAAGTAATGCCTGAAAAAATGATATTGTTCATTCATATTTGGGTACCTGCATTAAAAAAAACGTTGAAGTTATTAACAAACAAATCATGACACTAAAGGAGAGCAGCACTAAAGAACTTACAAGTCAGAGTCGCATTCAAAGCCAGCATATTCTGCAAAGTGGTTTCCTATATCATAACCTCTGTAGTTGTAGGATGCATATTCATAATCAATGAAGTAGAGTTTATCTGCAGAATTGTCAGAACAAATTAAAAAGAAAATTGACGATGAAAAGCTCAGATGAATTAATGATTAAGTTGGTTACCAAAGCATTCCCACTTCACATGTGAATGTTAAACTATTGCCAATATCAAATGCAAATTCCAGAGGCAAGCCCTTATGACATTGTTATAAAGTGAAATAATTTATGTATTCACATCACAAATTCCAGCTATCAAACTCACCATTATACTTCATTTCTTCTGCTTTAGTTTAATTCCTTAACAATTAAAATGGGAGCTACCATATCAAGCTCATGATTCTTACTGGAAAGTAATTTTGTACTCAAACATTTACCAATCATTGAAGAAAAACAGATATAACAACTTCTATTTGAGAAACACTGACCCCATTAAATTTGAAAATTGGCTCTCTATTCCGAAATAAATAAATTGCAGTACTGATCAATAATACCATGCACATATTTTAGGAAGAAAGACAAAGGAAACAAAAATAACTATTTATCATTTTTTGTAAAGATGAAGATTAGTGATACTATCGAACTGTCAACTCTCAATCAAGGATTCATACAAGTGCCATATACAACGTGGCAAGCATAAGAAAAGTTACAAAAGTTACCAAAAGTGTGCCTTAAAATCTATAGTAACTTCTGTAATAAATAAATAAATAAAATCTACAATAACAAGGTGGAAGCACAAGTATGCTGACAATAAAGGTATGTGGATACCTTCTTCATAATTAATCATTATATTTCCAGAAAGCAAGTCATTGTGAGCAAAAATTATAGGAGATTTGAGTCGATCACACAATCCCTGTGGCAAATTTTAAAAATAAAAAATCTGTCAACAGAAAAATTGTTAACATAAAATCAGTCAATCACTACCACTAATTCAGTCTTTTCAAATATTATCACAAATTTGTAAGTTATCTTCATGAACACATAAATGGAAAATGGAATGGAAAGTGATATGTTATATGAACACAAAAATATGTAAATATGAAATTTTACTCTTGTAATTATGTTTATTAGGTAACCGTATATTCTTATTTTTAATTATGATTATTCTTGTATTAATGACAGACAATATAAATATATTTTCCAACATGAAACCAACACACGCACAAATTCTCTCAATTTCTCTTGTTTATCCTTCTTCTTGACGTAAATTATATTAAAAGAAAGAAAAGACAGCAAGTCACCATTTAAAATAAAAACTTAACTTTCAAATCTAGTAATTAGCATCGAACCTCCAAAGATGGATCTAGTAATTAGTATCAAACCTCCAAAGATGGTGGCACTTTATATTCATTTTGACTCCCGCATTACAATGATAGATAAATACATAGATAACAGCAAAGAAATATATGGAAAGAGCAAGTACCTTGAGCTCAACAATTTCATCGTGAACTTCCTTGAATGAAATTGTCTCATAAGTATCTTGCATTTTACTATCATCAAATTCAAGAACAGATGCTGTAAAAGAAAACAAAAAATTGATAGCTCAAATACTTAAGATACCAAACTTTCAAGGATGCACACTACAAAAGCATGTTGCAATAGGTTACTCTAGCTATTGATGATAGCTTTAAGATGTTGAAGCAGTAATCCTCACATAGGACTAAGGAGATAGAATTAACCCTCTATGTAATAAAGTACAGACACCAAATAGATTGTATAACTAAATCTATAAGACCAAAACATTATTTAGACATCCTTGTCAAGGCAAAACAGGTCATTCTGGAGTACTAAATGCTATCCTAAAATCAGGAAGAGTGCCAAAATTGAAAAAGCTGAAAGGTATCTCAAAACTTTGACCAAAAACAGAAAGCAGGGTCAAAATCAAAGATCTAATAATAAACACAAATCAAATTAAAATCAAACAAAATTACAGAAGAAACCAGAGAAAAATAAATAGAAATGGACAAAGACCACATTAGTTACAAGGAAGAGAATATAAAGGACCTTTGTGAAAGAACTTCCAGATATCGTTCCATAATTGAGGTTCCTTTGAACCAGGAATTTCCACATGATGAAATCTTTGAAGTTGCTTAGCTATTTTAGCAGCCAGCTTTGGCTCCCGCATGTCTGCCATGGAGAAAAAGCATTGATGAACCCATTAAACAGGTTGTAGATAAACACATGATTAAATGAAAGCCAACATTAGATTCTAATAGTAATACTGTACTCCAAATGAAACCTACAACTAAAACATTTCAAAGAAGGTGCGTGTGTGTGTGTGTGTGGGAATTTGATAAAAAGTTGGGACAAATAACAAAATATTAAGTAATTAGTTATTAACAATAAGAACTTCAACTTAGAGATTCCTCACAATCAACAGTTAGCAACAAGTCTAAGGTTGGGAAGGCGAGTACAATGCTCCCACAACTATTTCTAAATGAGTATAGGATCATTAGGTAAAACCTAGTGATCTCCATCCAATGTAAGCATGGAGTTAATCCGTAAGGAATTTACTACAGGACATTATGTCAATAAAGGTAAAAGATAGTAATCCTAATCTGAATTAAGTTAAAGTTTATCCAGTAAGAATTAAGAATTTTTTAAATACAAATATCCAGTAAAGAATATACTACAAGACTATAGTTCCTAATATTATTTCATGAAATGACATATCCAACCCAAAAGAAATTTCTATAAATGCTACAGAAATCATGCAGTACTGGGTACAGACTCATTGTCTAGATATGCCTAAGTTTTGGAGAAGTATTATCAAGAACACCCAAGAGTTTGCAATTAAACAAGAATTATTAGCATTTATCATCCTGACATTGTCACTCATGCTCTAAACATGAACTTTTGTCATGTGTACCTGACGGAGATAGAGTCTCTGCATTTATAAAAGATTGTACTGTTCCATTCCCAAATATGCCAAGCCATTTAGCACCAAATCCTGCAGCTGTGACGTATTTGGTGGCCTAAACAACAAGTTTCACAAGCAATTAGTATATTAGAAAAGCAAATAATCTAACAATTCTATTATTTTAACCTACAGTGTTTTGCAAACATTGTTTCAAAAATCAACTAAAATGCACCATTAGAATTCATATATTTCTCTCATCATAACCGAGATCCTCTGTGCATATCAATGCAGGAATATAAATGTAAAGCATGTGTACAAAGTGCAAGAATGGTTTCTCCTCTCTCTCTTTCCTTTTTCAGCCAAATAAGCAAAATGTTGTACAGAACATCCATGGGATTTATGTTTCTTTGAAGTTCAATGTTGTTGGAAGTTGAGGTTTGTCTACCCCTTTCTAGACTTTATTGTTATTATTATTTTTAAATTGATCTAAGCTCAAGCATATGGAAGAATAATGAAATCTAGAAAACATATTTAACGAGTCGATATATTTTGTATTGAAAGTAATTATTAAAATTCTAATTATCAAAAAACTAAGAGAGAGAATCTTTCTATGCAACACCATCTAACATGGGAACACAAAATTATCATAAGATTTTTTAATTATTTTTTATGCTGCTTCAGAAAAGGGGGGAAAAAGAAAATAGAGGAATGAATTATTGTATTGCCAAAGATAGTTTATCTTAATTGAAGGTTAGTAAAACTCAAAACGATAATTCAAAGTCAACTTGCAATGGTCAACGGATGAAAACCCCGATAATAGAAAATGGTGCCATCCAGAAAAATATTCATACAAGCACTGCCATAACCATGTGTACAGTTTAAGATATCATACGTAACTTCTAATTATTCTTCAGCTAGAGAACAATATTTGCAGAAACAACAAAATAAAATTACAGCAACATCAGGGCAAAATGATATGTAGTCATGCGTTACAGTGTCAAACCTGCAATTCCCGCTGACGATCGATAATGTGCTCAGTGTTCGGTCCATACAGTCTGATGGTTATAATTTCCTCAATACAACTGTCTTGTTTAACCGAAACCTTGAGTACTGACACACAATGACAAATTCATCAGTTAGGTTCTACATCTGCACAAGCAAGTCTAAGGACAAACAAGAAGTAATTAAGCAACCATAAAAGTCAAGCTGATTATTTTTCTGGGTTTAGCAATTAAACTGGCATATGATTTTATTTTCTTTTTGAGTAACAAGAAACAACTCACACAAATTTGTTATGCCCCCAGAAATTTTCTCAACAGCAAAGCAAGAATCATCCAAATTTGACCATGCCTTGAACATATCCTTGCACAACTTACTGCATATAATCACAAGAAAAAACAATCGCATGAAAACCACGGAATTTAAAGAATTGCAGAGGAAGCAGCATACATTTAATCGCAAAAAGGAACCAAGAATCAACTTTAACGTCGAAAGAGAGATTATATCACACATTACAACCCACACAACTCCAAATTTAAGGCAATAGAACGATTCCCAGGAATCTAGAATGGCCAAATCCGAATTTAACGACGAAACCCCAAGCACATTCAAAAGAGAAGCGCGCGAAAAAAAAAAGATGGAAAAAGAACGTTTTCTTTAAATAAAAGAAGGTTAGAACAACGAACAGGACGAGAGGTGTCATTTGAGGAAGGGAAAGGGAAGGGTCAATGGTGAGATGCGAGGGAAGAATCTGCGAGGCATAGTCTTCACGAGCTTGCTCAGCCACTTCAATGGGATTCCAGATCTTAACTTCTGCACCCATTGATTCAAATCGAAGAACAGAAACAACGATGGCTTCAACTTTCAAAGGGCATTCGTGGTGTTTGGCTGATTTTGAATTGAACGGTGTCTCCTTTAGGTTTGGAGATTTTTCTTTTTTCTTTTCCCACGGAATGACCAATAATGGGACACATACGCCACGGTCGAAATTTATTCTATTTTCCCTTCCGTCACTCCTCATTTTCAAGTTTCTTCCCATTACACACCGAACACGTGCTCGACAGAAAATATTGTCAAATCATTTATGCATAATCTTGTATAAGCATCGCTTCAACTAAAAAATAATAATAATTTTTGTTAATATCGCCTCTGTAGAAAGAGTTTAAACATCTAAGTTTTTATAAAATATATATTTATTATATTAAAATTATAAAATTATAATAAATACTTATTTTATAATAAATTTTACTATTATTAATTATTTATCTTCAATCGTTAATTTTTCTTATAAAAAATATAGAGCTTAAATATTTTTTAAAAATGTTGAATTTATTCACCTACTTAAAAACTCAAGATAATATCAATAGTATATGTATTTTTAAGATTATAATATGTTTTTTTAATATTGTCTCTAAAAAAAATTAGTTCACTATTTTTTAACAATGTTTTTATTTCTATATTATATATATTTTTGTTATACTATATTATATACTTTTATTTATAATTTCTCTAAAAAATATTAATTTTTTTATTAAGACACAGAGTTAAATTGTCATAATATTTTTTATCCTAAATTTACTTCCTTTTATCAATTTTGATTATAAGCTATTTAGTTTTATATTTTTTATTTAATTAATTAAAAAAAATTTAATACTCAAAGTTAACTTAGTTTATTATAAAACACGTGGATAAATCAGTAGAAAGTTATTCTAATTTAATATATAATTTTAAATTTAAATTTTAATAAATGTTATTACATTAAATATTTGAAAGAATGATATATATGATCTAAAATATGAAGGTAATTTTATTTTATTTATTTAATTAATTAAAAATTATAAATATTATTTTAATAAGTATAGTTCAATTAATTTTAAATTATTCTTTTTAATTATCAATAACATAGCATGCACCTAATAATGATACATAACTTTAAAAAAATTATACATGAACTGTGACGTAAAAGTAAAAAGAAAGTGATACTCTTATATATAGTGTCATATTTATGTAAAAGACAGTAAATTGCCTTAAAATTTAAAATGTCTAAAATTAACAAAAAAAAATATAGTTATGAAATTATCATTAACAAAGTCATAAAAAAAATTTAGTAGGTTAAGGCATTAATTTCTTTTCTTTTGCATCTTGACATCTTAAGTATTAAAACATTAAATTAAATTTTACATTTATATAAATGTTTGAGATTGAAAAAATAGAACAATGACTAATTGCAAAGTATACCAATGCATGAGAAATTGAGCAAAAATTGTCAATTTAATCATAAGATATTACTATTTTGCTTTTTTAGTAAAAGAAAGCAAAGAAATAAATAAAAAAGAAGAAGAGAAAATTGCAATCTTAAATATAGGACTCTCTTAGCATAAGCTTGAAGAAGTAGTTTCAAGTTTGTAGAAGGTGAGATCCAATTTTTAAAAACACAATATGAAAAAGCTCATAACTTAAATAAAAAATCTATTCATATGTTGCCTTCACGTAGGGTATGTTTGATGGTGATATGTTTCTTAGCCACTCATTTATATACTAAATGAAATTAGCATACTTGTAGAAAGGTGAAACAATTTCTATCACAAGGTTTATGACCTCCATCGTGTCAAAGTAACACAAGAGATGTCTAATATTTATATTCCAAGTTATTTTCAACCCCTAAAGCATGGCTATGAGTTCAACATGGGTATTGTCAGAAATGTCAATGAACTCATAAGCTCCTTTAAGCTAATTTTCATTCCTATTTCTAATAAGAGCACTGAAATTGGCTCTTCCTATGCTCCCCTAAGCACTTTCATCAACATTATGGATGAATTCAAAATTCTAATCAGCCTCCCAACAAATCAAGTGAGCGTGAAATTGTTGCATTTGTTCACATTAATGAAACTGGTTGGTAAGATTCATAACATCAAACATTATTTTATAAATTGAAATCTTTTTTCCAACAATGCAATCAACATTCCTAACCCTCCATAGTGTAGCTAAAAATAAGGGCAAATTCCTTTTATGTTGAGTCATAATCTAGTTGTTAGCATCAAAGGAAGTTGTAAATAACTCATTCTATAGACTTGTACAAACATAAATTTCCTCATTTGTTGGACAATCTCTAATATAGTGGAGAGTGTCCTAAGTGTTACATCTCAAGCAAATGGGTAAAGGCGCCAAGTTCCTATGATCGCTTAAGTAATTTGTGAGAAGGGCATCACAACAAATAAGCTAAACTAGGAATTGAATATTTTCCATACAAGGGAGGCTCCAAATTCACCTCTAACTAATGTACTAGTATGTAGTTCTCCTAGTAACAAGCCAATTAAAACCATGTTTGGCTATATAACTTTCCTCCAAACTGCTTAACGAGATAAACTTATGCTAAACATGACTACTAATTGACAAGTTAGAATGATAAATGAGTGAAGTAATTGACGTTGGTATCAAAGTGGTAATTTGAGAAAAGTTCCACCCCTACTGGGTCCAAATGTCCTTAACCTAGAGTTTTATATCTTGAATGTTGACATAAGAAGTATGGTTACATAATTTGCCTAGTCTTGGATAGTCATAATACCACAAGAAAACTTGTCAATTAACAAGTCAAAAAATGAACCCATCCTTCATAATATTTTTAGCTTTTTTGATTATTTGCTAAGAGCGAGACCTTCTATCTTTATTTTGATCTAACAAATTATCTTTCTTCATATATTTTTCTACAAGTAATTGGACCCATAGTTTGTCCTTTTTATTCATCACATCTCAAACTCTTTTACTCAATAAAGTCACATTAACTTCCCTAGTTGTTCTCAAACCAAGCCTACCATATTGTTCTACAAGTGATTGTGTCATAGTTCACTAGGTTTGTTCCATTTCCAAAGGAAATCAAATATACACTTATCAATTAAGTGGCAAGCATATTGAGGCAGCCAATACAATTGTAGGTAGTATGTTAGCATTGTCATGATAATTGACTTAGCTAGAGTTAAACATCTTGCTTTATTAAGGAAACATGACTTCCAATTAGCAAGCCTATGTTGAATTTTCTCCACAATGAAGTCAAAGTGTCTTCTTTTCATTTTACCTGACATCAATTGAAAACCTAGATAGTTATCAAGGGAAGAAGTAAAACAAATACCTTAGATAGAGGTGAACTTGGCTTATTTCTAACCATTGATATCAGTCGAAACATAAGACTGAGATTTTATCAAGTTAACCTTCAAACCAGACACAACACTAAACTAGTCACACTTTTCATTTATTATTCTGATTTGAGAGCTTTTAGCTTTGTCAAATAAAAGCACATTATTCGGTGGGTGAGTGTACTAGTCAAGAAGTAATAAAGGGTTCTTAAATTAAGTTCTTGAAATATCGTCCTACAAGGATTGTTTATCAATTACTAAGAATTTCCTAATTCAATTATTTAAGTTTCAAAGATATGAGATTAATTAAAACAAGAATTTATAAATTCATGTGAACACCCATTTTTGTCCAGGTCACAAATTTCATTAAATTATAAATAACGAATTTCAAAAAAATTAGAAAATAAAAAGGGATAATTAAATAGACATGTAATGAATAAAAATCATAAAGATATTCTACAAATAATAATCATTGTTTTCATTTTTAATTTTAGTTAATTTAGAGATATATAGAATGGAATCAAAATAATCAAGGTCTAAAATATATACTTAATTTTCTTTTATTAGGTACTAATCGTATTATAAATAATGACTAATCTGCACACACAAGGACACAGATTTCTTACACAGAGGAAAATTTTGGACAAATTTTTTTTGCGAGAAGTTTTTCAGAGGAAATTTTTTCACACAGAATTTTTACACAAAAACACAAAGAGTCAGATACTGTAAGAAAAAGATATGAATTTTAATTACTCTTCTATTCTGTCAGTCTTTCATTGTAAATAGTAATTATTATACAGCTGTTTCTTTTTTTTTTCTTTTGTTATTTTACTCTTTTTATCTCTTTGTTTTCAATGCTTTTTTGTATATAGTTTCCTCTTTCTTTTCTTTACTTTTATCCTTATATTTTCTTTCTCTTTTCTCTTTGTGTTTCTTCTTCCTTGAGCGTTACTCATTGTGCAAAAAATATGAAAAATAAAAAGGAACCATTTTCATTTAAAAACATTCTAATTTAAATTTTTTCTTCATTTCAAAAATAAAAAAAATAAAGATTAGTTTTTTAAATCTGTCAAAAATAAAAAATTATTTTTTAGTAAAAATTATGAAAGAAATAAATTGATTTTTTAAAGTTGTTAAGTCTTTTAAAATGAAAATATAAAAAAATTTAGAATGTTAAATCATAAAGTTTTTTTTTATTTTTTTTAGATGTTAAGTTCCTTTTAAAAAAAATATGCAAAAATAACAATAAATAAATATTTTTAGGTAAATTGACTCATTTTTTCTAAAATAAAATATAAATTTTTTAAAATATAAAAATTTGTTTTCAAGTTATTCAGTTTTTTTTGTCAACCTTCAAATAAAAAATAAAAATACAAAAATTTTCTTCTTTTCAAAATTGTTTTGCTTTAAAAATAAAATATGATTTGAGATCAAATATTCTTTTGAGATCTCAAATCTTGTTTTTGCCTATGACAATAACAGCTTATGCTCGAGGCTTATTTTCAAAAATAAAAAATATGAAATAATAAAATAAAAAATAGAAAATAGGAAAACAAAAAAAATTAATATCTAGGGTCAATATTTAAAATCAGTTGCACTAATTTTGAGGTAATATTCATTCGAACGGGCAAAAGGGCTGCTAATACTTTTCTATTCGTAACCAACTCCCAAACTCGGGACTCTTAAAGGTTTTTTTTCCAATATTTTGTCCTTATAAAAATAAATAAAATTTTGGTGGCTGATCCACATTTTATCAAATAAAAAACCTATTTTTCAAAGCCGCTATTTTTTACCCACCAAGCAACAATTCAATTATGAAATCGAGAACA